ACCAGCGGTTTCCAGATCGGCCTGAGAGGAGCGACGCTCACAACAACGTGCGGCTAAAATGCAGCAAGTTGGCAAAGTAGGGGTTACAGCTGGTGCATCTACCGGTCATCTCAGTCAGTCAACCCATGGCACTTGCAGGGTCTGTCCCGAGACCTCCTGTCAGCGAGCTTTCGACACTTCACGTGGCCTCAAAGTGCACCTGGCCTGGCACAGGCGCCGTGGTGCTGTCACCGTCATTTAGTGGCAAAAGACGGGTATTGGTATGTAGTGGTTAGCACTCTGTGCTATGAACTCATTGTCCCAAAATTTGATACCCACTTCTAGATTTGAAGCTTTCGTGACTGCAAGGATTCATACTCTTAGTTCTTTCGGTAAAGTCACGTAGGTAAAAAATGAAATAAAAATTAATAAAAATAAAACAATAAAATCACGACGTTTCGGAGGCAACACAAGTCTCCGTCATCAGGTGGGACCGTCACAGCCAGATTAGCTGCACTTGATACACTTGATGCAGCTAATCTGACTGTGACGGTCCCACCTGATGACGGAGACTTGTGTTGCCTCCGAAACGTCGTGATTTTATTGTTTTATTTTTATTTATTTTCATTTAATTTTTTACCTACGTGACTTTACCGAAAGAACTAAGAGTATCGATACCCACTCACAGCTAACAATCAGTGGTTGATATCAGAACTGGTCCTGAGCCTCCCCAAAATCAACAGAGCCTTAAAAATGGGCACCTGATGTGGTGTGTAAACATCACCACCGGGGAAACAAGGCCACACCACCCCCTTGCTTGTGTGCTGTGCCGGCTCTCATAGACGCTCACGAACAGCACGTGCCTAACCATCTGTGTCGCCTACACTCGGGACATTTGTCTTCATCTTAATGTGTGCGTGTAGCCACTACATCAACATCACGATGTGGTGCATCGGCCAGTCGTCTCCGTCAGTCAACCCATAGCACCTGAGTCTGCCCCGTGACCTCTTGCCAGTGGGCGTTCGAAGCTTCGCGTGGCGTCAAAGTGCACGTAGCCTGGTACAAGCGCCGTGGTGACGTCACCGCCACATAGTGGCGAATGGCGGTTATTGTTGTTGTAGTGGATAGCACAGGGCTCCAGAACCGCTCTTTAAGGACTGCTTCGTGGCGTTATTAAGGACAGCATGGTGTTCACGTGCATTAAGGCTCTTGAAAGAGTGAGTTTTTAGTTTTTTTTACCGCATTCGAAAATAAAATGGCTCTTCTTGTTATTTTGGTTGCCCACCCCTGGGTGAGTACATTGCACTACGATCCCATTATTCCAAGTTCCATCCTAGGCCATGCACCACACCAGAGGCGATGGGTATCTGAAGTGGGCTGGGTCTCTCAATCGCTTTCTCAAGTGCGTGTACGTCAGTGCTGGAGACAAAAGGCGGTCAGGCATGGCGCAGGTGCTGCTTCTTCATCACGTGCCATGCTAGTATTAATAGGCGATCGCTGACCGTTGTGACAGGTGGCAAGGGAGAAAGAATAATTTCTGCACATAGTAGAACAACTATACGCTAAACTATATTCTTTCATTTTACTATGTTCAAGTTTCAAGTGTCATTAATTAGGTAAAAACTTGCAGCCATAGGGTAAGCCCCACTTAGCTATATAGCTCTTTTTCAGAAGCGACCTGGCCAAAAATGATAGCCCAATGAAGTAGTTTATCTCGTGGAAATTTATAGCAGCCAATGTGGAGGGAAAACCCGTAGGACCGCAGAAAAATCCCCACGACCACGGGGAGAACATGTTAACTCGAAATAGACAGGCGTCAGCCTTACTGGATCAAACCCACGACCTCTTGCATGCTGGGCGAGGTGTTTAACATCTCACCACCGCGGCACCAGCAGCAGAATCACATCTGCACGAATCATTGTTTATTTATTTAATTGTTGCATGTAATGGCTTCTCGTGACCGCTCGAGGCACTGGTGGCTAGTGCATTCACCAGGGTATAATAAAAAATATTAATTATTGAATCCAAATTGCAAGTCTGAATTGTGACATGTGTGTTCGGGGCATGTCGAGACTGGTCCCCAGAAAATCGACATGGCATTTCCAGAACTGGTTCAGGCTCGACCTATTGAACGTCTGTGAAAAATATCTTCGTAACTCATCGGATTTCTCCAGGAAAAATGAAGAGTTTGTTTCTATTCCTCGTTTGGGCAATCAGATATTTGGACTGGAACCAGAAAGGATTGGGTGTCCAGTTTACTTGACTTTTAAAAAAATTCTCGGCACTTATTTCATATCCAGCTGAAAGTAAACACTCGTCTAACTTTCAAATGTATTTTATCTTGTGCTTGTGAAATTTTTAAGTTTAGATTTAACGGATGAAAGAATCGTTTCAATTTATCAGTCTGAGAATTAATGGGACTGAAAGCTGGACTACAGTACATGTTCAACGTCAGGCAATTAGAGCGATTCAAACCTGATTGCAGTGATGGAAACAAGAATAGTGTATTTAAATAAGGATCCCAAACCCACTTGTATCCCTCAAATTTAATCACAGTGTAGTGTTGTACATCATTATGAAAATGATAAATTGTCATGATATTCTATATGACAGCATGAGTTTGAAATTGCAAAGGACGCTCCGTGTGTATATTTCGTCCAATGGAAATGGATCTGTTTTAGTCTGTGTCAGAATTAAATTAGATTTTGCAAAACAGCCATCATTCATGCCACACCATGCACATAAGAGTCAGCAATATCCAGTCGCTTCGTTTTCAGCAAAGCTTTTGTTGTAATGTGGACATTTTTGACTGTTATCACACCATTTTCAAGGCTAGGTACTTTCGTCATAGATTTGCCCAATTGTCCAAAGTTACCAAATCGTAATTTTTTACCAAATCGTAGTTTGGATTTTATTCAGTGAGTGAGGTTAAATAATAATAATAATAATTGGGGATTTCCCCTTTTTTCTGGCAACAAAACTGAAACCTTTTTACAAGGATTCATGTCTGCCTTAACCACAATACTTGCAGTTAAAATGCAAAAACAACACACTATGATAATATATGCAAAACGGGAAAAACCCTATTATTATATTTTGGTACTGGCAAAGGAGGTCTAATGAAGTGAGTGAGGTTATTGGGCTGCTAATATCGCTTTGTGGGAAAGTCATCGGCGGTTGTTCTGTGGTGAGACTGACCATCAGCCATGAGAACGTGGAATTTCCACCACTGGCCCCGGGCTATCAGTGGAGATGAGCGCCACCGCAGTGACTCGTTTGAGCGGTGCGTGCTACCCGCTACGACAGACGCCCTCCACAGAAACCTGGCCAATAACAAATAAATGGCTCATGTCAACTTTAAAGCTGCACAACAGAGCACGGAGGTGACACGCGCTTGCGGTGACATCGAGAGACGGAGAGAGGAGCGCTCGCGTTAGAGGACGTACAGCGGACGTTTAAGAGACGTTGGGCTGAGGCATGCCACGTGGCCGACGTTCCAGGCTAATGGGAGCACGTCCACCGTGGAAATGGAGCGATGGAATCAGCCCGTGTACAGGTGCAGGCTGGACTATTACACCGCAGGATAAGTGAGAGAAGGTGCGGGTTTGGTAAGGCCTTCATCCATTCGAGGATTGTCCACCGGTTGTCGATGATTGTGAGTTGCGCACTCCGTCACAGCACCACGTGATACTTCAATCTTCCCTTTTAAAATACGAGAATTTCGGGCCGCCGAAATTCTAGCTCTTGCCCACAACGACATCTGGACTCTATTGTATGTAGAGTGTGTAAGTATATATGTAGAGTGTGTAGGTATATATTCCTACAGGAGGCATTATTTTTTTAGGAGGGGGAAGGTAGGGATCGACAATTTTTGTAACTCTGTTGGATCAACTTTCTACCCCCACATCTGGGGTGGGGGTCCACTTGCTATAACTTTTTGAATCAAGCCTTCTGAAAGGCTCTTATCACTTAGTTAACGAACAAACGGAACGCCGTGCTTTTAAAATAGATTGAAGTTGACAATCCGATTGATAAAAATAGCATTGCTGATAACGCAACAAAACCCCTCCCAACTAAAGTTAAATAGTGAGTAACCCAACAACGAGCACCCACCGCAAAACCCGACAGGAAAACAGCAGAGGCTCCGACAGGAATGCATAAGCACAGTGCATTCCTTTCTGTCTATGGAGGAGAATTGTATTGGGCATTCCTTAAACAAAAAAAAAAAATGCCCCCTCCCTACACTTTATAAGCCATTGATTGACTCCCTACTGCCCACTCATTGCAGACAAGCTGTAGCGACAAGGCGTAGTGAAGCACACAGTGGTCACGATTGGCTCTCTTGGTCGCTGGAGCCACGCAAGCTTGGGCCCGTTTCCAGAAAAATTGCGTTTCTTCTTATTCCACATTTCACTCCGTGCCTCTGTCTTTCTCGCCTCTCTTATTGGTCGAGACGCTGAACTCTGGCTTGCAAGAAGCCCCCTTTGGCTTAGCGAACGTCGTGCGGGGAAGGGCAGGGTGGGAGGGCGGTGGGATGGAGCGAGCGAGGGAAGGAGGGAGGGATGGAGCGAGAAAACAAATAACATAGAAAACAGGGGGAACATAGACATAGAGGAGGGAGAGAGGGGGTAGAGAGAGAGAGAGGAGGGGTACAGATAGAGGGGAGGGGTTAGAAGTAGGAAAGCAGAGAGTAAAACATCTGTTGTGAAATCTTTCATTTCAAGAGGGGGGCGGGGGGGGGGGCACATAACGCAAAGCGTTGAAAAAAAACAAAAAAAACGAAATGATGAACGAAGCAAAGTGCCGACTACACCGAGCATCTTCTTGTTTCCTCTGATCGTAAAAAAACACGAGGGACTGAGGTAGGGAAGGAGCGAGCGAGGGAATGAGGTAGGGAAGGGAGCGAGGGGGTTAAGGTGGGAGGGATGGAGCTCGCTAGGAAGGGAACGAGGCAGGGAAGGGAAGGCGGGAGGGAGGCAGGAAGAGTAGGAGGGCTTTCAACTCGCAGCTGCGCTCAGCCTCGTGTCGGCGCTCACACACGAACGCACGGCACGCGCGTGCGGGAGGCTTGTCCCCCTGGCTCTGGTTTCGTTTGCGCCACGCGCTGGGTTTGGACTGTGGCGCTTCAGAGTCACGGAGCAGAGCCGAGTTTGGGTATGTGCTGCACCACTCTCACGGCGAACGGGAGCGGAAACTCTTCCGTAAGTGTGCGTCTGTGTGTGTGTGTGCGTCTGTGTGTTCTTGATGGTGGGGAGCGGTGGTGTAGCGGTTAGCGCGCTGCGCTAACGAACCTGGCAGTCCCGGGTTCGATTCCCTGCTCGCGGTCCAACACCGGTGGCTGTTAACCTGAACCGGTCCTGGACCTCCCCTAGGGCGACTTAGCCTTAAATGAGTACCCGGTGCAGTGTCTAAATATCACGTCCAGGGAGACAAAGGCGGCCGCGCGTGGTGCCGGCAACCCACCCCCTCGTGTGCCGTGCCGGCCTTTATAGGTGCTCGCTAACAGCACTTGCCCCCTAACGTCTGTTAAGGCTACACGGGGGATGTTTGTCTTTGTTGTGTTCTTGATAGTAAGTTGGTTCGGACATCGTGTTAAGGATCCCAGACATGCACGCGCGAGTGAGTGGCTGGCCGTATCATCCCCCAACTCAGCAACACCTTTTGCATTGCCGAAAGACTGCGGTGGTAAATGTGACACCTTTGTACGCGTGCGTCTGTGTGTGTCTGTGTGTCTCTGTGTCTCTGTGTGTCTGTGTGTCTCTGTGTCTGTGTGTGTGTCTCTGTCTCTCTGTGTGTGTGTCTCTGTCTCTCTGTGTGTGTGTCTCTCTGTCTCTGTGTGTGTGTCTGTGTGTGTGTCGCTGTGTCTCTGTGTGTCTCTGTGTGTGTCTGTGCGTGTCTCTGTTTGTCTCTGTGCGTCTGTGTGCGTCTCTGTGTGTCTCTGTGTGTGTCTGTGTCTCTGTTTGTCACTGTGCGTCTGTGTGTCTCTATGTGTCTGTGTGTCTCTGTGTGTCTGTGTTTCTCTGTGTGTCTGTGTGTGTCTCTGTGCGTCTGTGTGTGTCTCTGTGTGGGGAGCGGTGGCGCAGTGGTTATCGCGATGCGAGCCCAGCAACCCGAGCTCGATCCCCGCCCGCAGGAAATAAGAGTGACGATGTTTGGAACCCGTCCTGAGCGTCCCCTAGGTCGACTCGGCCTCAAATGAGTGCCTGTCGCGGTGTGTAAACACCGCCACTATTGCAACGTCAGGCGGGCCGGGCGTGGTGCTGACCACCCACCCCTCTGGGTGTGCCGTGCAGGCCTTAATAGGTGCTCGCTAACAGCACTTGCCTCAACAGTCTGTTATGGCTATACGGGTGATCTTTGTCTCTGTGTGCGTGGGGAGGGCGGCACTCGCTTTTCGCACTCTGCTACAAACCTTGAAAGTGGCATCTGGTGATCCTACACGGGACTGTACTCTGGCTTCTCATGGTCAACTCAGCGTCGAGCGAGTCCTTGGGGTGCCGTGTCAACCGGCAGTACCCGGGGGGAGACAAAGGCGGCCAGGCGTGGTGCTGGCCACACAACCCCCGTCTGGTGATGCGTTGCTGGCCTCAGTGTTAGCTAACAGGACCAGGCGCTCCACGGAGGGACACGGAATCCGAATATGAATCTTTATGTAGACTGGAGGAATCCGATGAGCAATGAAGCTCTGTGTTGTGTCCACACATGCCCATCTGTGCGGCTTGACGAGTCACGGCAGACGGCGAAACGCGTCCGCGTGCGTTCTGACTTATTGCAATCCGAGTGTGAGCTCGGCTGCAACTTTGAACCAAGTGTTGCATCCGAAACGTCGTGATTTTTATTTTACCTTTATCAATTTTAATTTTATTTTTTACCTACGTGGCTTTACCGACAAAACCTAAGATATTTGAACCAGGTAATTAGGCTGCACTACGTGCACCGAACTGCCACGTAGTATGAATGAATCATGCTCACGTGCATGTATTTGTTCATGGCGTAGTGTGTGTGTGTGCGCGTCCTCCTTAATGGATGATTGCAAACAGCGCTTATTCTGGCAGCAACAGGGCGAGAGAGCAATCCAAGCGTGCGCTGCTTGTCATCGTCAGCACTTGCCTCGATCTACACGAAAGGGACCTTTGTCTTTGGATGCTTTGTGTATGTACTCTCTGTGTGGTAATTCGGAACTATATGAAAGTTTAACAGGTGGGCTTTTGCTACCAATATTATCCGCAAACGAGGTGATTTTGGGTTAGATCGCGTAACTATACACCCGTGGTATATATTAGTTCCCTTTATTTATCCATGATCACGTGTGTGCGCGATTGTGTGTGATGCACAGAGTATGAATGTGTCCACAATGCAGGGCAAGTGGCGCAGGTGTCAGAGCACTCAACTCGCTGTTGGAAGGTTATGAGTTGAAATCCTGGATCGGGATTGACTCGGCCTATCATGTTGTTCAGGGTTGATAAATCAAGTACTAGTTTGTGGGAAGTTCACTTTGTCCTATGCAGAGACCGGTCCTTGCGAGATGAATGTGGGAATTTCCACCACGGGCTCCCAGCTTTTACTGGGGGAGATATGCACGAGCTCAATGCTGATTTAAGCAGGAAATCACGTTGACTTTGACTTGATGGATAGACGGACCCTTGCCATAAGAATGCGGAATTTCCGCGGGTGAATTTTCGATTTAAAGCTTTCGTGACTGCAGGGATTCATCTTCTTGGTTTGTTCGATAAAGTTGCGTAGAAGGGAAGTAATAAAATAATAAAAATAAAAATAATTATTTTATTATGTTTTATTTTTATTATTTTATTACTTCCCTTCTACGTGACTTTACCGAACAAACCAAGAAGATGATTCCCCGGGTGACGTGGGCACAACCAACGGAGACAGGCACCGATCGTGGAGACAGTTTCTTTACAATGATATGAGCTGGTACCAAAAGTATAAACTCCGTGTCATGGACTCGAATTAAGAAAGGTGCTTGGAAAAATCGAGCTCTCACAAAGCGATGATGGAAAAGTGAAAGCCAAAAAAAAACACTTGGAGATTCTGATTCTCATTTTGAGGAAATGGCTGAGACCCGTCACCTCGGCGATTTGGCTCGTCGACGATGGAGGGATCTGATCGATTTCTGCAAAAAAGACGTTTGGGCAAAGAGGAACATTTGCTCACACGCGAATCAAACCCCCTTGTTTGGTTAATAGACGACGGGGAACATTGCATAAACCAGCGCCACATGTATTTATAATTCATTTGAGTCAACGGGTGCGCGCATGCCAACAAGCCATTCTTTTGTCAGTTTGGCTTAAAAAAAAAGTTAAATCTTTTTACCCTTGAGCCCAGTGAAACAGATGGTTCAAATTTAATCACGAAATGCCTACGGTAACAATACTTTAGGTCGCATTTCGTAATGAAACCGTTTTGGGTGGCTCAGCGAATACCTCGCAATCGGTGTTAGCTCGGCACCATCATCCTTCCAGGGTCTATAAAGTGAGTACCGATTTGTGAGGAAGTCAACAGTGGTTTGCCCGTGTACGACCTCACCACTGCCATAGGCATGTGAAATGCTTTTGCCACTGGCTCAGGGCTGTAAATAGGGGATGAGAACCTCAATGACAACACGCTCATTTAAGCGATACAAAAAAAGCCCCACTCGGTATTTATTTTTTATAACGAAGGCATTGTTGCCATCTTAAAACTCTCATTTTCGCCGATGGCGATCACCAATTATTTCTCTATCAAGGGGCATGTGAACGAACCAACTTGCGTCGGTCATTCTTCTTCCCGCTTGGCTGTGGGTAACGTTGAAACCTGGAGTTGGGGCCCTGATGGTGGTGGTGCACAATAGCCTCTTCTCGTGACTGGTATGTTGATATGTGTTTATCCAGCTGGGTGGCGCTGTGGCTTGGAGCCTCTTGCCTCACAATCAGAAGGTTTCCAGTTCTAATCTTGGTCAAAGGTCGACTCAGCCCGTCTCCCTCTGGGGGCCTATAATATGAATGCCACTTTGTAGCAAGTCAACAGAGGGTGTCCTATGGACAGACTGGTCCCCACAATAGGAATGCTTTATTTGAATCGCTGTCTTAGGACCACCAACAGAGATGAACGATGCCCAGAAATTGTTTAAGTAATGGGATAACACTTAAAACTTTTAATTTATTTAGTTTCAGCAAACATTACCGTAGTTTCTAAAAATCAAGAATTATATCTCGTGGACACTGCACTCGTAGTATGACAATGCAATTTTTTTTATGAAGTTAGTCGATAGTAAGTGAGCCTTGTCATTGTGTGGCGTTACAGATATTAGCATTCCAACACAAACAAAGTGTTTTAATAAGTTGTAAAACAGCTGTTTAACAGTGTGCTATAGAAAATATAAGAGGCATGCTGTCCATGTGACCATGTTAAAGAACAGGCCTTGCATCGTTAATGACGGGATATGACTATGGCGGAGAGGAATTTTTTCGAGGACAAATATAATTTTATTTTTTCAATTGTGCTCAATTTTTTTCGGAAGGAACGTGGGAAATTGAAAAATATGCAAACGAATACACGCACGCAGTACTTATGCAAACAACTTTCTAGAGAATTCAATGTGTCTCTCCAAACGCTATTTTGTCACATTTTTATGTTTTGTTATTATTGTATCTAGTACCTACAAAGTGTGCTTTTTATTATTCCAATGAAGGCAATTGGCACACAAAGGCATCTTTTAGGAAGTATGATCCTATTTACCCAATGAAAGCTCACAGAGTCTCAGAAGATGAGCAGGCAGGCCTTGCACTGGGACGTTTGGCCAAATGTCGTGAATGAGTGTTTGGCACGTGGGAGGAAACCAGAGCACCTGGAGGAAACCTAGACATACGAGTGATGATATATACTTATAAGAATGCTGTGCTATACTGGCATTTCCTTGCCACCTCGCAGCCCTAGTCTCAAACACTGGGTATGCCTAGGCAGTATCTCATCTAAGTAGTAACCCGCATCGACCATGCTCATCTTGTGAAGATTTAATTTGCTCTTGATAGAATGATCATCAAGGTGATTCCTCCTCGAACACTCAATGCCAGGAGGTGATCGTGGCTAAGGCTGTTGATGCCACCACACCGAGTCCAGCAGATCCCAAGCTGTTGTATGGTCGAAACCCAACCACCAATGTCAAATCTTACAGTGTCCCAGAATCTGGAATTAGGTCTTCCCA